GGACAGATCAACCAGACAGAAAATAAGTAACGAGACAGAGGCACTGAACAACATCTTGGAACAGATGGACCTAACAGATATCTAAAGAAACTCCACCCAAGGATACACATTTTCTCAAGTACAAATAGAAAAATTTTAAGAATAGATCATATACAAGGCAAAAAAAGAGCTTCAGTAAATTCAGAAGGATTTAAATTGTACCAACCAGCTTCTCAGACGACAAAGTATGAAACTAGAAATAAACTATGAAAAGAAAACAAAAAGGCCAAAAACACATGGAGGCTTCACATGAGCCTGAATAATCAACGGATCAATGACCAAATAAAAACAGAGATCAAGCAATATATGGAGACAAATTACAACAATAACTCAACACTGCAAAATCTCTGTTATGCAACAAAGGCTGGGCTAAAAAGGAAGTATATTGCAATACAGACTTACCTCAGGAAAGAACAATACCATATGAACAGTCTAAACTCACAATTAATGAAACTACAAAAAAAGAAGAACAAATGAGTCCCAAAATCAGTAGAAGGAGGGACATAATAAAGATCAGAGCAGAAATAAATAAAATCGAGAAGGATAAAACAAGAGAAAGAATCAATGAAACCAGGAGCTGGTTCTTTGAGAAAATTAACAAAATAGATAAACCCCTAGCCAGACTTATCAAGAAAAAAAGAGAGTCTATATACATCAGCAGAATCAGAAGTGAGAAAGGAAAAATCACTACAGATACCACAGAAATACAAAGAATTATTAGAGCATACTATGAAAAATTATTTGCTAAAAAACTGGACAATCTAGAAGAAAAGGACAACTTTCTAGAGAAATACAACCTTCCAAGGCTGTCCCAGAAAGAAACAGAAAATCGGAACAGACCAATTTACCAGCAACAAAATTGAGTTGGTAATCAAAAAACTACCTAAGTATAAAACTGCTGGACCAGAATGGCTTCACCACTGAAATTTATCAAGCATTTAGTGAAGACCTAATGCACATCCTCCTTAAAGTTTTCCAAAAAGTAGAAGAGGAGGGAATACTCCCAAACTCATTCTATGAGGCCAGCATCACTCTAATACTAAAACCAGGCAAAGACACCACACAAAAAGAAAATTACAGACCAATATCTCTGATGAGCACAGATGAAAAAATACTCAACAAAATATTAGCAAACCAAATTTAAAAATATATCAAAAAGATTGATCATGATCAAGTGGGATTTATTCCAAGCATGCAAGGATGGTACAATACTCTAAAATCCATCAATATCATCCACCACATAAACAAAAAGGACAAAAACCACATGATCATCTCCATAGATGCTGGAAAAGCATTTCACAAAATTCAACATCCATTCATGACAAAAACTCACAACAAAATGGGTAAAGAGGGCAAGTACCTCAACATAATAAAGGCCATATATGACAAACCCACAGCCAACATCATACTTAACAGAGAAAAGGTGAAAACTTTTCCTTTAAGTTGAGAACAAGACAAGGATGCCTACACTCCCTACTTTTATTCAACATAGTACTCAAAGTCCTAGCCACAGCAATGAGACAACACAAAGAAATAAAAGGCATCCAGATTGGTAAGGAAGAAGTTAAATTGTCACTCTTTGCAGATGAAATGATATTGTACATAAAAAAACTCTCAAGAATCCACCCCAAAACTACTAGCTCTAATAACTGAATTCAACAGAGTTGCAGGACACAAAATCAATACAAAGAAATCTTTTGCCTTCCTATATACTAATGATGAACTAGCAGAAAGAGAAATCAGGAAAACAATTCCATTCACAATTGCATCAAAAAGAATAAAATACCTAGGAATAAACCTAACCGAGGAGGTCAAAGACCTATAATCCTGAAAACTACAAGACACTTATGAGAGAAATTAAAGAAGAAACCAATAAATGGAAATACATCCCGTGCTCATGGATAGGAAGAATTAATATTGTCAAAACAGCCATCCTGCCTAAAGCAATCTACAGATTCAAGGCAATCCCTATCAAAATACCAACAGCATTCTTCAATGAACTAGAGCAAATAGTTCTAAAATTCATATGGAATCATAAAAGACCCCAAATAGCCAAAGCAATCCTGAGAAGGAAGAATAAAGCTGGGGGGATTGCACTCCCTGACTTCCAGCTCTACTACAAAGCCACAATAATCAAGTCAATTTGGTACTGGCACAAGAACAGAGTCATAGATCAATGGAACAGAGTAGAGGACCCAGATAGTCATCTCTGTGCTTCTCAGTGTCCAGCACAGTGCTTGGCATACAGCAGGCTCTTAATGAATACATATTGAAATAACATATATGGCCAATTAATATATGATAAAGGAGCCATGGATATACAATGGGAAAATGACAGCCTCTTCAACAACTGGTGTTGGCAAAACTGGACAGCTACATGTAAGATAATGAAACTGGATTATTGTTTAACTCCATACACAAAAGTAAACTCAAAATGGATCAGAGACCTAAATGTAAGTCATGAAACCATAAAACTCTTAAAACATAGGCAAAAATCTCTTGAATATAAACATGAGCAACTTTCTCCTGAACACATCTCCTCGGGCAAGGGAAACAAAAGCAAAAATGTACAAATGGGACTACATCAAACTAAAAAGCTTCTGTACAGCAAAGGACAGCATCAGTGAACAAAAAGGCATCCTACAGTATGGGGGAATATGTTTGTAAATGACACATCCAACAGGGAGTTAACATTCAAAATATATAAAGAGCTCACATGCCTCAACACCCAAAAAGCAAATAACCCCAATCAAAAAATGGGCGGAGTATATGAACAGACAGTTCTTCAAAGAAGAAATTCAGATGGCCAATAGACAAATGAAAAGATGGTCGGCATCACTAATTATCAGGGAAATGCAAAATAAAACCACAATGAGATATCATCTCACACAAGTTAGGATGGCCACCATCCAAAAGACAAACAACAAATGCTGGCGAGGATGTGGAGAAAAGGGAACCCTCCTACACTGCTAGTGGGAATGTAAATTAGTTGAACCATTGTGGAAAGCAATATGGAGGTTCCTCAAAAAACTAAAAATAGAAATACCATTTGAACTGGGAATCCCACTCCTAGGAATTGACCCGAAGAATATAATTTCTCATATTCAAAAAGACATATGCACCCTTATGTTTATCACAGCACTATTTACAATAGCCAAGATATGGAAGCAACCTAAGTGTCCATCAGTAGATGAATGGATAAAGAAGAGGTGGTACATATACACAATGGAATATTATTCAGCCATAAGAAGAGAACAAATCGTACCGTTTGCAACAACATGATTGGAGCTAGAGGGTATTATGCTCAGTGAAATAAGCCAGCCGGAGAAAGACAAGTGCCAAATGATTTCTCTCATTGTGGAGTATAACAACAATGCAAAACTGAAGGACCAAAACAGCAGCAGACTCACAGACTCCAAGAAGGGACTAGAGGTTTCCAAAGGGGAGGGTTGTGGGAGAGCGGGTAGGGAGGGAGGGAGAAGGGGATTTAGAGGTATTTTGTTTAGTACACATGGTGTGTGTGGGTTCACCAGGAAGGCAGTGTAGCACAGAGAAGACAAGTAGTGATTCTGTGGCATCTTACTAAGCTGATGGACAGTAAGAGCAATGGGTTGTGGGGGGACTTGATAATATGGGTGACTGTAGTAACCATAATGTTTTTCTTGTGAAACCTTTACAAGAGTGTTTATCAATTATACCTTAATAAAAAAATAAAAAATAAAACATAAATCATACATTCTACCAACCAGCAAAGGTGCTACCTAATGGAGACAAATGAGAAGAGAAAGTAGCCTTGAAGACACTTTGGAAATTATATCTCTTATTTCCCCAATAAAGAGTTTAGAAGCAATAATTATTTTACAGTATGTTCCCTCATAACCCTTTTATTATGGATTTATCACTCTGCTATTCTTTTGTCTATCTTTTCCAACAAAATAGCCAATATCTCAAAGACAGTGCTATAATCATCTCTGTACTTCTCAATGTCCAGCACAGTGTTTGGCATACAGCAGGCTCTTAATGATTACGTATTGAAAGAATATATACTGGGTAAAATGAATAGATCTGATAATGGCTCTGCTTACTTTTTTCTTGTGTATTTTTTCCGATGAATTATATCCTCTTACTTTTCCCTTTTCTATTTTTGTGAGTGCATATAAATGGAGCTCAGATAATCCATACATACCAGTGTCTACCTGACTCCCACGTACTACTACTGTTTGAAGACTCTGCTAGGAGCTCTATCCACCTGGTCAGCTGGCCTCACACCGGTAATAGTAGCATTTGGGATGAGATGGTTCTGGCTCTGTCCTTTGTTTAGATGCCCTGACAGTCTGCATGGTGGTCAGCTATTGCAGCCAGGTAAGTTTCCTATAACTATCTCAAAGCCTGAGTGAATGGACTTCTATCTGAACCTGACTATTCTTCCTCCATATTGGTCATGTGTAGCTAGGGACTCTTATACCTCACGACTAAGCCTCCCTGAGTCACAACTGGTACTTCATCATATGTTAATATATTTCATTATTTAGTTTTCCACACGTTGCGGTTGATCTTCCATTAGAATATAGAAGAAGAATGCCACTGAAAAGCAGAAATTTTGTGTTTTTGTGATTTCTTTCAAAATTCCTAATTCTGTAATATTCCCAAAGTGAATTCAATACATTATTGAATGGGAAAATGACTTGAATCCTGCATTGAAAGCTCTTCATAATTTCCCCTCAGGAATTAAGTAAACTTATATTTTTACCTTAGTTCTTCCATTTCTTTTTCCCAACAACTCGTTTTTGCTTCCTTATATAACTCCATGAGAACATTAATGTGTGTCTTGATGAATGGTAACTGATAATCTCTGAGAGTACCAAATATACCTTACAGTTAAACAGGGTTCATGTTTTTCCACAATCATATATAAATTAATTGTACTATTCCCAGAGACTTTAAATAAAACAAACTCTTACCCAGCTTTAGCAACACTTATGGTCTGTTGCTCCATTGCTTCGTGGATACTGGTTCTATCATGCTCTTTGAGGCTATTAAACTCGTCGATACAGCAAAGGCCTGCATCTGCCAGTACCAGGGCCCCAGCCTCCAAATTCCACTCTCCTGAGTCTTTCACAGCAGTTACCGTCAGACCTAAGGAAACAAGTTAAGCATCTCAGCTTTTATTTTCAAAAGCATATCTTATACCCATGAAGAGGAAGAAACACCTAAAGTATTTCTTTAAAGGAAAGGGCATAGAATCAAGGCTTTTACTTCTAGTCTATCAAGAATGGATGGCATCAGAAAACAAACTGGTGGTTTCTAGAGGAGAGGGGGCTGGAGTAATGGGAAATGTAGATGAAGGAGATAAAGAGGTACAAAATTCCAGTTATAAAGTAAATAAGTCATGCAGATATAAAGTATAGCACAGGGAATATAGTCAATAATACTGTAATAATTTTGTATGGTGACAGATGGTAATTACACTTATTATGGGGATCATTTCATAATGTATACAAATGTCTAATGACTATGCTATGCACCTGAAACTAATATAATATTGTATGTCAACTACACTTCAGTTAAAAAAAAAAAAGAATGGATGGTGTCAGGACAACTACTTCAGGTATCCAGTCACTAGAAGGCCCCAGAAGGTCCTATGTCCTGAAAATCTAATATGTGTTATTGAGTATTTTGTGGCAACCAGAAGTCCTCAGATTTTTTGTCTCTCCTTTGTAGGTACCTTCAACTGAGTGGTCTAAATTTTAGAAGGAGCTAACAGATCTCAAGAGATCTTATGACAAGAGGTTCTGTACAATATGCTATTTACAGAGAAGGGTCCAAAGACAGAGAACAGCAGATATTACAGTCCAGTGATGAAAATGAAAAGTTTGCTCCCAGCCGCAGTATGAAGGAGAAGATTCTCTTCATATGTCTTATCTAATTTTGATTCATCCTTTTATATCAGTCAATAAAGCAAAGTGGTCAAAAGTAAAGGATCTGGAATAACCTAGACCTGGATATGAACCCTGCATCTGTCATGATGCTTGTCACATAGTAGGCAAATTTACTAATATATCCAGGCCTCAGTTTATTTATCTATAAAAGGAGATAACAACAGAACATAGCTTACAGATTCTTGGATATTCAGGTACTATAGAAATAAAACCCTTTAAAGGCATATGATACATAATAAATATTGTTCATAAAAATTGATAAACCTCTAGTCAGACTAAGAAAGGAAAAAAGAGGAGACACAAGTTACAAATATGAGGAATAAAAGAGAGGACATCACTATTAACCCTACAGACATTGAATAAGAAAATACAATGAACAACTCAATGTCCTAAGTCTGATAACTTAGATGAAATGGTCAAATTCTTTGAAATATATAAACTGTTTATCTAAAAAGGAATATAAAGGAAATATATAAAGTTTATCTATAAAAGAATAGATAACTTGCTCAATCCTACATCTACTTTGAAAACTGACTATGCAGTTGAAAACCTTGCAACACAGAAATTTACAGGCTGAGATGACTTTGTGGAGAATTCTACCAAACATTTATGGAAGAGAGAATACCAATTCTACACAAAATTTTCAAAAATGTAGAAAAACAAGGAACATTTCCCAATTAATTTAATTCAGTATTATCAAGATACCAAAAACAGATAAAGAAAGATTAAAAGAAAACAACAGACCAGTATCCCTCATAAACATAGATGCAAAAAACCTCAAAAAATACAAACTAATCAAACAATACATAAAATGATAAATGATTACAACAGTGGGGCTTGTCTTGGGAATGCAAGACTAATTCAACATTCAAAAATTAATCAGTATAATTCACTCTATTAACAAACTAAGGAAGAAAAAGCGAACTAAGAAAGAAAAAGCAAATGACTACATGAATAGATACAGAAGAAAAATAAACCCTTAAAACTCAACAATCATTTATGATAAAAAGAAATTTTTCAGAAACCTACAAATAGAGGGAAATTCTTCAATCTTATAAGGGATACTTATGAAAATCCTACAGCTAACATACTTCATGATAAAAAATTGAATGCTTACCACCCCCCCGCCAACCCTTACTCCTAAGATCAGAACATGGCAAGATCTGCTCTCATCACTCTTATTCAAAATCATGCTGAAGGTTCCAGCCAGGGAAATAGAGCAAGGAAAGAAATTAAGAACATATAGATCAAAAAGGAAAAGATAAAACTGTATATTTTCAGACAATATAATTATGCAGAAAATCCCAAATAATCTACCAAAAAGATATTAGAATAAGTGAGTGAAGCAAGGTTGTAGGATACACGTTAATACACCAAACTCAATCATATTTCTATATAGTAGAAAAAAAAATTATAACTAGAAAATAATACAATTTATAATAACACCTGTAAATATAAAATACTTGGGTATAAACCTTAAAAAATATATGTAAGATCTGTATGCAAAAACTATAAAACAATGATTAAGGAAATCAAAGATAACCTAACCAAACTGAGAGATATTCCATGTTCATGATATGAACTGAAAAACTCAATTATTTTTAAGATTTCCTCAAATAGCTCTATAATCTTCCCCAACTGCTCTACAGATTCAGTGCATTTCCAAATGATATTCTGGCAAGATTTTTGTTTTTATAGAGATTGACAAGGAGATTCTAAAATTTATATGGAGAAGAAGAAGGAATAGAAGAGCCAAAACAAAAAACAAAGCAGGAGGTCTCAGATGACCTGATTTCCACATTTACTACAAAGCTTCAATAATCAGGTCAGTGTGGTATTTGAGACAGGATGGACAGAACAATGGAATAGAGTCCAAAAATAGGCCCACATATATATGTTCAAGTGAATTTTGATAAAGCTGAAAAAAACAATTCCATGGAGAAAGGATATTCTGTTCCACAAATAGTGCTAGAATAATTGGATAGCTTTACACAAAAAGAAAAATTAGTCTTGATCCACACCTCACATATGAAATAAAAATTAACTCAGTTACTTAAGGACCTAAATGAAAAATTGCAAAACTATGGGGAAAAAAACTCATAAAAGAAAATATAGGAGAAAATCTATATGTATTCTCCCAATTTCTAGCCTTGCATTTAAGAAACTTAGAAATTACCACAACTTGCCACTTATTCAAAAACAAAAAAAATGAACAAACTGAAAAGTCAACAATTCTTCAAAGATCTAAGATCCATCAGAGAAATGAGATCACAGGGCAAACCAATGCCCCCCACATTGGAAAGCAAGACAGAAAAATCACAATTTACCAGAGCAGAAATCTCTGTGGGAATAAATACTGGGACAGGAAAACCTAAATTATAATAGAATTTCTGGTGATGTAGTGTTGACAATTCTGAGAATTAAAAAACTCCAGAGGAACACATTTATAAAGGGAACCCCACACTTTTGTGAATTTTACCTCCATGGGCTCTACCAGGTTCTTACATTGAATAGCTAAGATTTTTCTCTGGTACTGTAAGCAGAGGCAGAATATCTATGAAAGAATCCAAAAGAAATTCTAGAGATCAAGAACAGTGCAACAAAAAAGAATGTTATGATGGGATCATTAGTAGACTGGACATGGCTAAGTAAAGAATCTCTGAGTGTAAAGATAGTCAACAGAAATTTCCAAACCAAAAAAGCAACAAGAAAAGTGATGAAAATAACAGAACAGACTATTCAAGAACTGGGGGACAATGACAAAAGATATAACATACATGTAATGGGAAATCAGAATGAGAAGAATGAGAGAAAGGAAACAATATTTGAAACTATGAAAAATTCCCCAAATTAATAATGTAAGACAACAAACCTCAAAACCAGAAAGTTCAGAGAACACTGAGCAGGTGCATTACAAAAGCCTCACATAGACATATCACATTTAAACATCAGAATATCAAAAGTAAGGAAAAATCTTGAAAGAAACCAGAGGAAAACACACCTTACCTACAGAAGAGCAAAGATGAGAATTATATTCAACTTCCCTCAAAAACCACCATGCAATCAAGAAGAGAGTAGAATGGAATATTCAAAGTATTGACAGAAAAACCTGCCAACCAGAATTATGTACCTTGTGAAATTATCTTCAAAACTGAAGGAGAAATAAAGACTTTTTCAGAAAAACAAAAATTGAGGGAATTTGTTGCAAGAAATGTTAAAAGAAGTTCTTTAGCAAGAAGAAAAATGATATAGGTCAGAAAGATCTACATAAAGGGAGAGCATCAAAGAAGAACTAGGTCACGGTAAAATAAAAACTTTAATTTTTTTATTCTTAATTGACCTGATAGTAGTTTGTTAAAAATAAAATAATAAAATAAATAATGTATTTGATTATGCATGCCTTAAATGTTTATGTACAAATGAAATGAATGAAAGCAATAACACAAGGGATGGAAGGAAGAAATTAGAAATATTTTGCTATTAATATAATATTCTATATCAACTATATTCCAATTAAAAAATATTTTACTATTATAATGTACTTGCACTACTGTGAAGTGGTATAGTATTATTTGAAAGTGAACTTGGATTAGTTGTAAGTACATATTGCAAAATCTAGGACAACCAATAAAAAAGCAAAATAAAACAAAGCATAATTAATTTGTTATGAAAGGAAAGAAAATGGAATCATATAAAATGCTCATTTAAAATCACAAAAGGCAGAAAAAGAGTGAAAGATGAAAAACAGGAATAAGGAACAAGGGCAATAAATATAAAATGCTACCAAATATGGCAGATATAATCAAACAATATCAATAATCACTGTGAACATCCATAGTCTAAATACACCAATTGAAAGATTATCAGACTTGATCAAAATCAAGACCCAACTACATGTTATCTATAAGAAACTCACTTTAAATATAAACACATATAGATTGAAAGTAGAGATGGAGAAAGATACACCATACTAACATTAATTTTTTAAAAAGTGGGAATAATTGTATTAATTTCAGACAGAGCAGACTTCAAAGCAAGGAAAATTATCAGGACAAAGAGGAGCATTACATAATGATAAAGAGATCAAAAGTTCAAGAAGACCTAACAACCCATAATATATATGGGCCTCAGAATATGTGAAGCAAAAACTAGTGAAACTCAAAGAACAAAGAGATCAACCTACATTTTAGCTGAAGA